CCCATCGGTTCTCGATTCGGGTACCAGTTCGGGTATTTAATTTATGAAGAACCGCTCAGCTCGGTTCGGTTCGGTTCGGGTCGGGTTGGTCCAATTCGGTTCGGGACTTTTGGACTCCCCTAGTCAGAAATTTAGCAAATGTCAAAACCACAGGTCCGAAAACCACAATGTCATCAATTTTGAGAGGGAAAAAAGGCACATAAAATCTTCCCCGTCTTGCACACTTATGGTACCTCCATTTTCAGTATTGTGATAGTAATAAAGTTGAACAGTCAAAGCAGGTATGTCTAGCAGTTCCCAGGCAAAAGATCTAAGACACTTACCAACCCAACCAGGATGCTTTTGCATAATTACTGCAAAAGCAGTCATTTGTTCCAAAACAATGAAATCAATCATTGATGTGTGATTTGCCACAAAAACCTGCACAGATCATTGAAAGAAAACTCAACTAGACATTGACGATCTTGGTTAAAATATTGTCGAAGCATAGAGAAAAATTAGATGACATACACAAAAGGAAAAATCCCACCTGCCTAGGCCGCATACTGGGCCGTGGACCGTGGTATTTGATTACTCCAGTCCACGAAGCAACAAAAAAGCTGCAAATCAATTCTACTAGACCCCTCTGAAGAAAAATAAGCGATGTAAAACAGTAGCAGAAGGTCAATTCATGATATTAATTTGTCTTCAATGAAAGAATGTAGAAAAGTATAATGCCAAAAGTCATACAGTAAGAAGTCTTACCTCTAACTTTTTTCTTAATTTATCATGCCCTTTCAAAAGGGTATGCACAGGAAAATAACATGAGAGAAATATTATCCATCCTAGTGTCAATACCAGTACCCTGCATTTAAATAGAAAAGCATCAGGTGACCAGAAAGAATTTGCACTGGGAAGTACAAATTGAACTGATAGATCCAAACTTATGCAGGCACACGTCTATATGTAAGAGAGCGGATACATGGTGTCTTCAAAGCAATATAATGTACAAATACAATCTCAAAAACTGTATACCTTAAACTTGGAGAAAAAAATTTGATATATCACTTCATTTCATCCTTGCCAAAAAAGGCCAAAGATATGCAACTTCATGATAGCTACAGGAGATAAACAATGTTTGACCAGGTAGATACTAACCTTAATGGGAAAAGAAATCCATATCTGACTATGACTCCCAAACACCACAAAGGAAACAAATACACATTCCAGTTCCATGGTTCCGAAGGAATCGACTTGAAGCATCTAGTGAAAGAGTCCTGTCATGCAGCAAGGATCAGAAATGAAACCAAATGTATGTAACATATCTCTCGAGGACAGAGCACTTGTTTACGTAAAAACAATTGCCGCAGAACCACATTTTCAGAAAGTTCTGTCACCATCACTTATAAGATGTTGTGTGGTAGTAGGAAGAGGCATGGAAATACAATTGCCCACAGCACCACACCATTCAATGATGTCTACAATATAGATAATTTTGTACGAAATTGCCAGATCTAAATAGTCAGGCACCTAATACATTAAGAGGTACTAGGGAAATATGAAAGCAAGTACATCAGTTTTGATTTGTCACATAATACCCAGTTCCAACGTCAAGAATCAGGACTCAACAATAACAAGAAAGTTCTACAACACCATTGAACCGACAGATAATATTTTGTACATGCAGTTATCCTTCATAACCCATCATTAATTGTTCATAAAACCACTTGATCCTATCTTTGCGTCTACACTCATTCATGACTTCGAACCTACAATAAAAATATCGAGTTCAAAATTGAGAGTTTACCTAATTCCAATTTCTAATTTTGTTATGGTTCCAATTTCCACCTAATGAAACGAGTTATGAGAAACAAAACACTAGCAAAAGTTTTGGGGTTGTTAAACCAAATGCGTTATAATAAATACATTTTGTCTCACACGATATCTTCATCAATCCATCTACTGAATCATCTTTAGAACATTGCAATCTGTACAGAATCAGTCACAGCGACAGGAATATCGCTCCCATTATTCACAAATTGCTCTCCACAATATTCGCTTAGCGCAATCATATTATTTGCAGTTGCTACCACTAATGTTATTTGTAACATTGTAGCTAAACTACGTTTATACCCTTGATGAATAAATGTAGACTGCAGCTCAGAAGAATTCCACTGAGCTTTCAATCCAAAGATTATTTATTTATTTATTTATTATTATTATTATTGTTGTTATTATTATTATTTTAACGGGGTCCCTACACCGAGGCACAAATTTTAGCAGCATATGATAAATTAACGGACTGAAAGAACATTTGGGGTCGGACCTCTTGGAAATTAAAAATCTTTTGTACTGTAGACAAATTCTGATGAAAACTCACGCAATATCATCAACATTCTATGGAAAACGGGACCAATTAATTTAGAAGAAAAACATCTAAAACCAAAATATTAAGGCGTCCAAATTGCTTACATCGACGATGGCACCAGCTGCCTCGGTTAGAGTGGGCGAAATGTCGAGTAAATCACGCCTGCCACCAGAAATTCTAATTAGCTCAAATTACATTGATTTAGATAAATAGAAACAGAAAATGGGATAGATGGATGGAGAGATACAGGCGCAGTTTGCCACGAGGCTCTTGGATGGATCCAGAAGGGAGATAGTCTTCAATATTAGGACGCTCCAAGTCGGTTTCCAAGCTGGATGTGCTTAGCTGACTCAGTTTTCTCGCTTAGTCTTCAATATTAGGACGATCCAAGTCGATTTCCAAGCTGGATGTGCTTAGCTGACTCATTTTTCTCGCTCTATTTCATATAGATTCGCCTCTCTCTTCCTTTTAATGGGTAGGGTGGGTAACTGTTGTTGGCATATTGCGGCTAGAGAGAGAGAGTAGTTTGGTTGTTTGGTTCAAGAAGGTACTTCACGCAATTCGAAGCGTTCCTCGCCGCGTGTCCTCTGGCACACTTCGTCAATTTGGAAGTGTTGAACCTTTCTCAATTTCTGAAATAAGTGAAACCAAACAAATTCTGAATTGCTTAAGACTTAAGAACTATATAAAACTAATTAATGTAAATGAAAGTTTGGAGTCGATCATAGCGCCTGTAGTAGTTATTCTATGTTTCAATTTAGAACCGAGCTTGGCTTACAGAGGTGAGGGTTCACTGAACCCCAATAGATCACTCAAAAGGCGTGGGGTCGACAAATTTTTTATCCATTTTTTAATGAGTTCGTTCCCGCATGGGACCCACCCCATGGGAGTGGTGGTAGAAGTTTTGTAAACCAATTTTCTGTACATTTGGCTTAACTCTTCAATTTATTATTGAAATAATAAGTTATTATTTGAAACAACAAAATTATAAGAAATTAACGTCTAAAATAATAAGTTGTCATATAGAATATCAAGTAGGACGACTATTGTAGTCACCGACTACAAATAACATTATTCATATGTTAATAAGTAGAATCATGGCTCTTGGACTCCTAATTAAGTTGTTCAGTTAAAAATTAGGGGTGCGTTTAGTTTGCTATTTTCAATCTATTTTCTGTTTTCATAGTTTCAAAACACTGAAAACGTATTTGATCTAGTATTTCTAGAAATGCATTTTTGAAAATAAGGCTAAATTTATAACATAAAACTCAAAATGCAATTTTGTAATTTTAAGTGTTTTCAATGAAAATTTTGAAAACACTCGAAACATGGAAAACAAACTTTTGAACAAAATTTTGTTTAAATAAATTTAAAAATATAAAATTCTAACATATAAATTTAAAAATAGAATTGGTCGCAGATCACTGATTTATGTTCACAGATAACAAGTTATAGTTCACTCGTCATGTTTCATATTGTATATTTCACAGATATTCATAGTTCACAAGTCAATATTAATTGATCACATGTTATAATCCACATGTCATATTGTATAGGTCATAGATGTTCACTGGTTATAGTTCACATGTTAATATTAATTAGTCTTATAGTTCGCAGGTCACATGTCATATTCTATAAGTCACAAATGTTCACAAGTCACGGGTTATAGTCCACGAGTCAATATTAAAATATCATATGTTATAGTTCACATGTCACCATTCACAGGTCACATGTTATAGTTCAAAGGCAACAAATCAATGTCTACATGTCACATATCTAGGAAAATTCGTTATGGGTCATTGGAACAATATCATAGATAACACTTTACAGGTCACGTGTAACACATATTACATGTCATAGAGCATAGGTCACAAGTCACAAAATTAAGAGAACATGTCACGTGCCATTGATTTCTCCAAATTGGTTTCAAATTCAATTAACCAGATTTCGACGGTAAGAATTGAAGTTATTTGATCTAGTGAGTACTCTATAAATTCTCTCCTTGTGCGATCTTCTGACACACAATGTCGATAACTTCTAACTTGTGACCTTAATCGTTTGACGAGTATCAGTTAACCAGATTTCGACGATGAGAATCGAAGTTATTTGCTCTGGTAAGTTCTCTATAGATTCTATATGTGTTCGATATTTTAGGAAGAAGTTCTCAGTAGATTTTTGTTCGATATTTTAGGAAGTTGTTCTTTGTAAATTCTATCTTCCTTCAGCGAAGTTATTTAGATGTCATTAACTATGAGAGTGGATGTCAAGGGGTAGATGCTGGCAGGTTGATGCTAACGACTCTAAAAGGGGATGACTGCGAGCGGACGTCGAGGTCACAGGCTCGGACTGCTGAGATATTAGAATTATTTTATATATAATTATTTATTTAATTAATATAATTTAATTACCACCGGAGTTTTGGAAATGTGAACTTGTTCTCTTAAAATTGAATTGGCCTAAACTTAAGGCCGGCTATACGATTTTTTTTTTCCCTTGTATAAATCTTCAATAACGATTAAGCAAGCTTGTTAAAATAAGATGCATGTCGTAAAAAACACCCAAGTTGAATAAGTACTGAGAATTGAATTCCCTTTTTTTTTTTTTTTTGCATGTTTTTCAAGTGAACGAGGTTATATAATTTCTAATTAGTAATTACTTCAACCAGGTCGAATAACACATTTAAAAATTTTCAATAAACAAACCATAGGAAGGTATGTCAAATGGGGCGAGTCAAGCTATGTTTTTCTTGTGCGAGCTCGCTAGATGCACTACTGCCTTTCGTAAAATGAAAGAAGAGTTAAAGTTGTTTTCCTTAACTATGAATGTAGTATTTCTTTGATATTTGATTCGACCTGTTCTCTTGAAGGTAATTGATATGTATTTTTAGTAACTTTGTATTTTAACAATGACGATATTTGGTTATGAGAAAGTAACGCATTTGTGTTAAACACATTGTATTAGATTAACCCAATCGTCGTGTCGCACAAATTACGGCACATACTTTGAACGATTTTTTTTTTTTTTTTTGGTAACTTATTTTTAACATCACAATAACTAGTATCTAATTCCATCGCCGAATGTAAAATATTTACACAATATATAAATTTGAGATCGAAGAGCCAAAATAAAGGATTTGGATTTGACTAAGAAAGTATTTGTAAATAAATCTACATTTTAATAAATTAGCCATCAAAGTGAAAGTGATTGAGATTGATTAAAACTGATTTTGTATTGGAATTAATCCAATTACTTGTTGCAATTATTTTACTACATCAAAGGAAACGAATCGCCGTCTCTAAGGAGTAAAGAAATCTAGAGAAGAATTTTTATTAAATAAATTAACTAAACAATATTGAAAATCATTTCATTTTATTTGTTTAATGTTATTTGTATGTGTTTCAACACATTAATTACGCAAATAACTTAATCTTTTATTTCAAAACTATATGTGAACTTATCCTTGTATCAAAGTTATACAAATTCAACGTTGACTTCATGAATCATTTTGAAACAAACATATAGTATCGTTCGTGCAAAAGTTTTCTCGGGCCGAACGGAGATTGGAGCTCGAGTATATAGGTAGAAGGGAACTTGACAGCAAAATCCACATGTTAAGTAGGGACAAAAAATGATCTTAATGATTTGACGATACCGAGTGGCAGAAAGAGATTCCTCCCTCTAAGCTTTTGAATTATTATGAATTCAAGCTCTATTTTCTAACGGATCTTCTGTCTAGATAGGTTGAGCGTAAATAACCCATCAACTGTCTATCATGTCATTGTCACTAAATTTTTAATTTGTCAAGTGAATTGTTCTGTACATAATTTTTTATATCTTCTTTTATATTATACCACACGACAACACACCATTTGACAGTTAAAAAATTGATTTTCGTCCACCACATTTTGAAAACATTGAGGATGTCATATTGAATGAAAGAATAAAGCTGTATTTTTAACTTAAGGAAGAGTTCACAAATCAGGTATTAACTTTGACAATTGCAAAAATCAGGTGTTAAGTTTCAAATTTGCAAAATTCGGGTATTTATTAATTAATTAAATATTTAATTGTAATATAAAATAATTAACCCACCCCACCTCCACCACCCCTACTGCTCCGGCGACTATTTTGGCGACTAACGACTACTCCGAAAACTGTTCCTCGACCGCGCTTAATTCTGACTACTATTCTGGTGATCGTTTTGCCGCTTCTTAATTCTGGCGACTGCTCCGATTCCGGCAATTGTTAAGGTCACAATTATATACAATTTGGTCACATATGTCTGATTAATTATTTAAAAATTAATTTTCGATCACGGTTTATTTACAGATCACATATTTCCAAATTAGCTGGTCACAAATTTTTTAATGGTCACATATAAAAGAAATTTGTAGGTCACAATTAATTCATCGGTTATAGATTTCAAAATTTATAGGTCATATAGTCACAGATTTTCAAATTAGTTGATCACAGATTCTTTTATAATCACAAATAATATAATTTTAGGTCACAGATAACAAAATGGTTGGTTACAAATTAACCAACACCCCACTTCCACATCCGATCATGATCCAACACCTTGACCGCACACAACACCGTGCCCAAGCCAACAATCGCCTCCATCACCATCAGATCCAACATACCCTATCAGATCCGCCACCACCACACCACAACCCTACCCCCAACAAACCCGCCACCACTAAATCCAACACTATTGCCAACCATCATCACAAAATCACCACCACTGACAACAAATAAATTAAAACATTTTGGAGAGAGAAATGAGGTAGAAATGAGGGCAACAGAACGAAGGCAAACCAAATAATTGATCATATACACCCAAACTTCCATCCCCCGATCTCGATCATCCACCAATACTTGGGGGCAAATCAACCAAATAGTTGGTCACAAACACTCTTTGTCCCATCCCATCGTCGCCATCGCATCCACTGTTGCCAACAAAAATCACAACCACCACATTAGGCCCACTGCCATCGCCTCCACAACATTGCCGCCACCACATACACCACACAAAATCACAACTTGCCGCCACCAAGACCAACACCACCTAGCGAGCACCGCCAACATCAACACCACCACAACCATCACCAACAACTACAAACGCAACCAAATCAAACCAGAGATAAAACGGCTACCTGCTGCCACCAATACCAACAATCCAACACCAAAATGTCTCCACCTTACACCACCACCACACATTCTCTTCTGCACCCCCCGATTTGCAGCGTCACCCACCTGTTCATCGTCGGAGATCTGCTTCGCCGTTGTCTACTTCGCCGTGTCATTTCACCATCGCAACTTGCGGTGATTCGCGAAAGGAACAGTGCGGCGGCGTGGGTGCTCTGGG